CAAAATACAAGTAGAAATCTGCCCCTCGGGCACAGTATCAAAATAACAATTAGAAATCTGCCCCTCGGGCACCGTATCAAAATAACAAGTAGAAATCTGCCCCTCGGGCACAGTATCAAAATAACAAGTAGAAATCTGCCCCTCGGGCACAGTATCAGTCACTCAGTACAGTATCAGTCCCTCGGGCTCACTCTCATAACAGTATCAGCCCCGCGGGCTACCTCACAATCACTCATATCAGCCTTTCGGGCATAGTACCAATCACTCAGCATAATGGGTACTCGCGCTCACTGTGGGTGTGCAAACTCCGGAGGGGCCCCTTACGGCCCAAGCGCTATATCAAGCCACCTCGTGGCATCATCACTCAGCATATCCTCACATCACTCAAGCCACCGCGTGGCATATAAAGTATCATAGGCCCTCGGCCTCATATCACTCGGCCTCACATCACTCAAGCCACCGCGCGGCGTATAAAGTATCATAGGCCCTCGACCTCATATCACTCGGCCTCACATCACTCAAACCACTGCGTGGCGTATAAAGTATCATAGGCCCTCGGCCTCATATCACTCAGCATATCATCACATATCGCCCTCGACCTCACTCAGTCCAAAAATCATCATAAGCCCCTTGGGCATTTGTAAACAGTAGTTCTCAGCCCAAAATATCATTTAGAAATATCATTTGAGTTTCAAATCTGTATAAAAGTGGTTGAGTTTGTAAAATAATAATCATCAACAGGACTGAGTTTAAATATAAGTCAAAACAGTGAGGAAATAGTGATAAAAATCCCCGAAGGATTCAAATAATTGGCACGAAGACCAAATATGGCAAACAACCCAAATCATGATGATAACAAATAAGTTTCAGTAAAATACGCAGTAAAATCATCAATCGGGACGGACCAAGTCACAATCCCCAGTAGTAAAAGACCCCGCGCTCATCATCCAGCGCGTGTCTCACCTCAATATAGCACTACGATGTGCAATCCGGGGTTTCAAACCCTCAGGGCATCATTTACAATCATTACTCACCTCGAACCGGCTAATTCTCTAGCTCGCGATGCCTTTGCCCCTCGAATTGACCTCTGAATGCCTCGAATCTAGCCATAACGATTCGATTCAGTTAATAAAAATTATAGGAATTAATTCCATATGGAATTCTACATTTTTCATCAAAAATCTGAAATTACACTCAAAATTCGTCCGTGGGGCCCACATCTCAGAACTCGGTAAAAGTTACAAAATATGAAATCCCATCCAACCACGAGTCCAACCATACAAATTTTATCAAAATCCGACAACAATTCGGCCTCCAAATCTAGAATTTTCGTTTTTGAAAGGTTTACAATTTTCTCCAATTTCTTCCATTTGATTCACTATTCATGATGAAAGTAACCATGGAATCATTAAATATAATCACTTTTAGATATAAAACACTTACCCCAATCCATATGGTGAAAATCGCTTCAATCCGAGCTCCAAAGCTCAAAAAATGAGAAAACTCTCGGACTCCCGAATTATACATTGTCCAGGAATTTTCGGGGTACTGTTCATACGTTTTTACTGTGCACGGTACTGTTCACGGGGTACTATTCACGGTACTGTCCACGGTACTATTCACGGTACTGTTCATGGGGTACTGTACACGGTATTGTTTCTGCAATTTTCTGCAATTTTTCCTAAGTCCAAAATCACTCCGAGACACCTCCAAAACACTCCCGAGCCCTCGGGGCTCCTAACCAAACATATACACTAACTCAACAACATCCTACGAACTTAACCGTGCGATCAAATCGCCAAAATAACGTCATATACCACGAATTAAGCTTTAAAATCCAAGAATTCTTTCAAATTTCATAAAACATCAAATTTTCCATTTTGAGTCCGAAACACGTCAAACGACGTCCGTTTTCAACCAAACTTTATAGAAAGTGCTTAAACCATATATAAGACCTTTACCAGGCACCAGAACTAAAATACGGGCCCGATATCATCACTTTCTAATCAAATTTCATTTCCATTTTCCTTAAATATTTTCAGAAAACAATTTTACTCAAAAATTCATTTCTCGGGACTGGGACCTCGGAATTCAATGATTCTTATTCCTATGAGTCACAAATAATGATACAAATATAGCCCTTCAGTCGAAACTTAATTCGGACCTCATTTACTCAGTTCAATACCCATTTCACTCGTTAAACAATTAACTCATGTTTCGTGTCAAAAACCCAATCGTGACTTGATGAAATTAGACCAAACTTTCCAGATCAGTCCTATAATTCATTATCAAAATTCCAGAAGTCTCGAAATCAAATTTTGATCTCTAGAACTAAAAATGGACCTTTGGATCATTACATGTTTATGCTCAAAACGGCAAAATCTTCCAAAAACTCTTCCAAAACTTATCCGAACCTCATGGGACCCCGACCAAAAATGCCAACATAATTCATAACATCATTCAAACCTGATAAAATCATCAAAATACCTCAAACAATATCAAATTACCCAAAATTCATCGAATTCAAGCCTAAGTTTCCAAAAACTTCCGAAATACTCTTTCGATCAAAAACCTGACCAAACATTGTCCGAATAACCTGAAATTTCACACACACATCACAAATGACATAATGAAGCTACATCAACTCTCGGAATTCCATTCTGACTACTATATCAAAATCTCGCCTATCAACCAGAATTCGCCGAAATACTAACTTCGCCAATTCAAGCCTAATTCTACACCGGACCTCCAAAGCCAATTCCGATCGCACTCCTAATTCATAAATCACCTAACGGAGCTAATCAAATCATAAAAATTCCAATCCGAGATCAAATACACATAAGTCAAATTTTGGTCAAACCTTTCAAATTTCAAGCTTCAACTGAGAACTGTTCTTCCAAATTCATTCTGATTAACCTGAAACCCAACACTAATGATTTACATAAGTCATAATACACCACATGGGGCAAGTAATGCCCAAGAACTGGCGAGCAAAGTGCAAAAGCTCAAAACAACTGGTCGGGTCGTTACAGTGACTAATAAGGTGCATGAAACCCAATTCTTGCCAATATTTCCTAGCATTTAAGCAATCGAGAAAAATGTGTTTAATAGGTCAATCCTCCCTTTGACAGTAAAAACAAGTAGCATCTCGGATAATATTAGAGTTTTTTAAGTAAAGTCTGGTTGGTAACCTATTATGGCAAAGAAGCCAAATAAAGGTTTTAATTTTTGGATGGATATGGAGTTTCCAAATCCATGAAAAAGTATGGGAGTGAGTCGTAGAAGACTGTGTGTCTACCTCAAGTGTGGTATACATCGAATTAACAGTAAATTTGCTAGTTCGAGTTAGACCCCAGTAGATTAGATCTGCTTGATTGCGAAAGTGGGATACGTAAGTAGCATCCATCAAACGATTAATGTTATGCCCTAGGTCAAAAGGAATTATTTCCCTATTCCATCCTATGGGATTAAGTATTGAGAAATTGTTAGACTTGTTTGTTCCAAAATTAAGGGGCCTTGTATCATAGAGCGCAGCATTGTGCCTGGCTTTAACCAGGGGTCATCTCAAACACTAATATGCTTGCCATCTCCTATTCTCCATTTAATACCCATTTGGCAAAGGTTCCAGCCTCTCAGGATGTTATCCTAAGTTTTGGAATTATTCAACACAGTATTTTTGTGGATGTATTTGTTAATAAGAATCCTTGACCACATTGCTTGAGGAGATTGGAAAATTCTCCAAGCAAGGCCTGCTAGTAAAGCCTTATTTTTTTGCCCTAATTTTTGAATGCCCAGACCACCTATAACTTTTGGGGTTGTTACAACATTCCATTTGAGAAAGTGCATTCTCTTCTTTGTTAAGGTAGTGCCCCAAAGAAAATTCCATTGGTATTGCTCCATTTTTTTGATAATATGTTTGGGAATTTGAATATACTGCATAATATGATTTGGAAGGTTATTCAGAGTAGATTTAATAAGAGTAGTGCGACCTGTCATAGTTAAAAAACTAGTTTTCCATCACGCTAATCTATTCTTAAAATTATCTAGAAGGAATTAAAAGTCCTCATTTTTAGGTCGAGTATTGAACATAGGAAACCCTAAATATTTACCAAACGAAATCCCTTCCTTAATTGAAAAAGTGTCTATAACAAAATTCCGGTCAGATTGGGAGCTATTCTTGGAGAAGTAAGCCTTAGATTTTTCAAAATTAACTTGTTGACCGGAGCAAGAGGTAAAGTGGTCTCGAACATCAACTATTGCATGACAACTCTTAGTAGTAATTTTAGAAAACAAAATAATGTCGTCCGCAAATAAAAGGTGTGAAAGTTGTGGGCTATTTCGAGATAGGCTACTGGGTTGCCATTGTAGGTAATCTACTGATAATGAAATGCTATGTGAGAGCATTTCCATACACATTATGAATAAGTAAGGTGACAAAGGATCACCCTGACGAATGCCTCTTGTCGGAACAAAATATGGAGTCCTAGAACCATTAATTAAAATAGAAACCGAAGTTGTTGTAACACATGACATGATTAAAGTAATCAGTGAAGCAGGAATATTAAAATATATAAGTGTTCTCCGAATAAATGACCATTCTAACTTGTCAAACGCCTTTTCTAGATCTAATTTCAAAAGCATGTAAGAAGTTTTACCTTTAATATTCCTAAAATAGTTTAAAACTTCTTGTACTGTAATAGCATTATCAGAAGCTCGTTTACCTTGTTGAAAACTAGTTTAAGTAGGTCCTATTATCTTAGCAATAATAGGTTTTAGCCTATTTACAATTAGCTTGGTAATCAACTTATACAAAAAGGGAAAGAGTTAAAAATACGGATTGAATAACACTTTCTATATTTTGAGATTCAAACTAATTGTATTTATCTATTTTTAAATATGTAATTTTAATTTTAAAAGATAGTGAATAAATCAATATCTGTTTTTTTTTAATTCCCATATAGACTCTTCATTCTATTTGAAAGGGGATCGCATGTAAGGAACTTCATTCTTGATCGGAAACTGTAGCTACAATTTCGGACCCAATGTGTCATGAAAAATGACGACTCTAATGGATAAAATCATAATAATGGGATTAAAGGATAAGCTTTCGTTGTCTTTTAATCCGATTTCAACTCTTTCACTAACCCATTCATATTACATATATTCACCAACTATAACTTTTATCTACTAATTTAAGTACACAATTCCACTTGAGTTTTACACAATTCCAGTAATGGCAAACGAAAAACCACCAGTTTGCGTCACTGGAGCCAACGGATTCATTGGTTCATGGGTGGTTCAGACGCTCTTGGACCGTGGCTACACCATCATCCACGCCGCCATCTTCCCCGGTTCCGATCCTTCTCACCTCTACTCTCTCGCCGGCGCGTCTAACGCCGGAATCCGCCTATTGGTGTACGAAGTTAATATACTTGACGCCGACGCAGTTGCCAGAGCAATTGAGGGATGTGCCGGCGGGGGAGTTTTCCACGTGGCGTCGCCGTGTACGCTGGAGGACCCCGTGGACCCGCAGAAGGAGCTGGTGGAGCCGGCTGTACAGGGTACTATCAACGTGCTCACGGCGGCGAAGAGGTTTAATGTTCGGCGCGTGGTGCTCACTTCCTCAATCTCCGCCATCGTGCCTAATCCTGGTTGGCCGGAAAATAAGGTCTTCGATGAGTCGTCATGGACTGATCTTGACTATTGCACGTCTCGCCAGGTGTCATTCTTTACCCATACACGTGCATGTCACGTGATATGTTTATTTATTTATTTTCTTAATTTCACTCAAATGTTTGAGTAAATTGAATATTAATACAATTGCAAAGTAATTACTCCTTCCGTTCTAATTTATGTGAACATGTTTGACTGATTACAAAATTTAAGAAAAAATGAAGACTTTTAAAATTTGTGATCCTAAACAAGTCAAAAGGGTTAGAGTATTTTTGTGGTTATAAAAACTTCTCATTAAGGGTAAAATTATAAGTTTAAGCAAATTTAGAAAGGGGTCATTCTTTTTGGAACGGACCAAAAAGGAAATAGGTTCGCATAAACTTTGAATTTTTTATTTATTAATTTTTTTAATAAAGATAAAGTTTATGCATTCACGTTTTGAGAAACAAACCTATGTTCATTCCGATTCAGATGTCTTAATCTTTAAAAATAAAAATTTACTCATTCATCACATCAACACGTGTCTTTCACCTAAGTTTTAGAGTATTTTTCAAACATAGTTAATTAATAGTATGTAAAATTACATGCTTTATCAATTAATCATGGTAAAAAAACACGGTTTCATGGTTAAGTTTATTCTCGTGTATGATTGACTATGCTCCCAAATCTGCATCACTCTCATTAAGATCGTTATTGCACCATATTTAATTTAGATATCCAATTAACCTGTAGTGCTCAAAAACAGAAAAATATGCAGGAGTTTTGCGTGCAACTATGCAGCTTAGTGTCTTAAACTATGCAGCTTACTATTATGTGTACTCTACTACTAGTATTTGTTTCCCAATTTAGTTTTACGAGGTATAAGTATACAACATGTATAATAATTTTACTATTAATTAAAATGAAAATATAAAAAAACATTATTTTCAATTTGATGTTGTAAGGAATTATTTCTATTAATAATAGATGATACCATTCGGTTTTAATTTGAGTTGGTTTATGATAATTGAATGCTTGATGAAATAACATAAAGAGAAGATGGAGCAAAAATAATTGACATTCCAAGAGAGGAACACTGCTTAATATGTATTTCACTTGCCCTTCAACATAACGCTTGTAACTTTGTAAATAGTAGTATAATCGTCTGAAGTTATATAATGTTTATTAATTATATAGCTTAGTTATTTACTTATTCCAGAGCTTTAGGCTTATATAGAGATTGTTGCTTGCATATCCACTACTCTAAACTCTAATACTCTTGTATACTCGAATTTTATCGAGGGTGATGTACTCAATTATTTACCATGTCCTAATATACAGACCTTTCTTTTTGATTTCCTTAACTTCTAAGTTTACTGTTATTTAAAACTTGACAGTTCCTGATTCTGCGATGACCATATATGATAAAACTATCACTCATCCATGCCACTTCAATTATTTGATTACATGGTGAAGTGTTCTTAAACACAATAATCATAATCGAGTTTGATGACAGAAATGGTACCCAGTCTCAAAGACACTTGCTGAGAAGGCTGCATGGGAATTTGCTGAGAAGAATAGACTGGATGTGGTAGCAATTAATCCAGCTACATGTCTTGGCCAACTCTTGCAACCTGGACTGAATGCAAGCTGCGCTGTTTTGCAACAGCTGCTTCAGGGATCAACAGACACTCAAGAGTATCATTGGTTGGGGGCTGTGCACGTCAAAGATGTGGCGAAGGCACAGATTTTGTTGTTCGAGTCCCCTCATGCTTCTGGAAGACACCTGTGTACCAATGGCATTTACCAGTTCGGTGATTTTGCTGAAAGAGTCTCGAAACTTTACCCTGAATTCCCTATCCACAGGTTTGTTGTCATATCTTTTAGTTCATCTTTTGGCCCCCTCTCTTTAGTAAATAATTTCCTTTTAATTCTTTTCGCATTCACTTCAAAGATAATATGCCATCCTCAAGTTTAATCTTCTCTGACTGCTTCTCCCTGCTGTTGGCAAAAATAGCATGTATATCATTATATGGATTCTGTATCAGACTTTTGAAACGCCTGGAGTAAATCTGATGACAATCCATGAATTCACATATGTTAATCCAGTCCTATATTCTTCCCAACAAATAAAATTCTAAGTTCTATCACACTGAATTTTTATATAGCCAACTAGTTACTTGTTTACCGCATAAGTCAAAAGCACAGATGCAGCTATGCTTCCTTTGACTAGATAATGATAAAACTGAAATTCTGTGTTGTTTTACATTTGAACGGTATGAAATGAGCAGGTTTGAATCCTTAACAACTGATAGTTGATATCTAGCTGGAAAACTTGGGGAAGAGGACTTTAGTAGTTACTTAAAGGTTGTAGTTGCTAGATTTTCTTCAGCACTACGTATAGACAATCACTTTTATCACCACACTACTTCCTCCATCTCAATGGAAATCACTTACTTTTGCTCTGTCTTGTCCTGAAATGTTTGACCTTTTCTTTTAAAAGGACTTCTTTTGTGCACCAACATCTCCAAATAATAATTATATTAACACTAGTTTATTTTATTTCAAAATTGATAAAATTACTTCACTTTTACATTTCAAGCTACTTCCTATGTCCCTTTAATCGGCCACCATTTAAGCTTTGGAGAGATTACGAGTAAAATGTCTGAATGCTATATTACTGAATAGGGTTAAATGTTTAAAACATTATTTTGAGGTGTGAAAAAGGTAGAGCTTTCAATCACCCACAGCAATAGTATAGACTACTATACTATACTATACTCATTAGAAGAACCTATTAGCATTGTGTTCGTACACTTCCCACAAAATTGGTAAGTGATAATGGAGTGACTACTAAATAATTGTAGGGCAATAATACTTTCATTTTAGTGTAGAATCAACTACTACATGGTTTATAGTAGTGGGGTGGTTGGAACTTGGAGGGGGGCAACAGGAGCTGCTCTGTCACCACTTTGGCATGAACTAAATTTTGCAGTAAGAACCTAACTTCTAGGAGTATAGGTATATATTGCTCTCATTTGATGCATTGACCCCCACCTTCAGTATTAGCTTAAAGGATTTCCAATTGCTCACACATGCAAAAGTCACAACTGTCGAGAATCAAGACCACCTTTATGATATCTAGGCCTTAATAACCCCACTACAAAACTGTTAGGCTACCCAAAGAAACCCCACTATGAACTGCTAGCTACCTCTATAGCCATTCCAAGTCCCATTGGTCTCCTTTCATGTTTCCCATTGAGCTTATCCTTCCTTTTGGAGATTCTATTCTTGTTATCCTGAATAGCTTTTCGATTGAGATATGTTGCTGAAGTTCTGCCTCAGCATTTGTTTAGTTATGTAAAGTTCGTTAACATGTTTCAAGGTCGACATTTTCATAATTTGTACCAGGGTCTGCTTAATCAGCTTAACTTTATTTGATAAGGGTCATAGTCAATCCATAAGCAAGAAACTGGCTTTATAAACTCCTCATATCCGAATTTTATTTCAGTACAATCCACTTTGTCTGTTTGTGCTAGAGTATCTGGATTTTCATGGAATGGAAATGATCTATTAACCATCGGTTTGCTCCTAACTACCATGTGCCTCATATTGAAATGTCTCCTAACTGCATTTATTTAGCCAATGACTCATTACCAAGTTGACTGTGGACTGCATTTTCATGAGCATTGAATGTGCTTTTCTACAAATTCATGTGCAAAACTAGTGCCACTTTACTAACGATTTCCTTTATTCTATGCTTTTATTTACTCCTTGAAATATTATTTAGTCAAATTGGAAGTTTGACAGTAATTCTGCTAGAATACTAGTTGTAACTTGTAAGAGACCATAAATCTAGGTGATGGAATCAGGCAAGACACATAAAGTTGAATAAAAAAATAAGCTTTTATATTTCCCTTTTGAGAATTTCTCTCTTGTCTTAGTTTCGATTGCATAATTTACCATATTTTTATAAGAAAAAAGATTCCTTTTCTTATGATAGGTCTGGTCTTGTCTCAAATAATGCTGAATAAAATTTTGAAAACAGGTTCGCAGGCGAAACCCAGCCAGGCTTGGTGGGTTGCGAAGATGCTGCTAAAAGATTGATTGATTTGGGACTAACTTTCACCCCAGTTGAAGATGCTGTTCGGGACACAGTGGATAGCCTTAAAGCCAAAGGCTTCCTCAAGCAACAGCAGAATTAATTATCTTGAACCTACTTGCTTTTAGAAATTCACATGATTCTTTTTTTTTTTTTTTGCTTAGATGGATTCATAATTACCATTAAATGAATGATTTCTATCTGTTTTTTTGGGTAATTTAATTGACTTTTTTAATTCATTTATGATTATCCCTGTGATGATAATTATTATACCTGCACACATGGTGACATCCATTGTTGCTTTAGTTTTCCAATGAGATTAACGGATCATGACCTTTTTTTTGTTTTTAATCCACTGTGATGATTAAAACAATGGATTACCTCTCGTTTTGATTAATATAATGGACACTTGTTAGAATTCATGACCTTTATTTTCTCCATCTATTAGGATCCGGAGCTGATTATTACTGCGATAATTTAATTTTATGATAATGAGTTTTCTTTTTACATTGAACAAAATGATAGGGTATCCAAATCCAATTCTCTACAGTCGAATGTTTAGTTTTGCTTTTGAAAAGATTGATTCGTGATGCTTTCTTGAATTCCTTACAACTCCATGCTCTGTTACTGTGTGAGAATCAGAATTCAGCATAATAGCTCCAAAACTGATTTTTTTTCGATCACCGGAAGATAAGTTATAAAATACCATAAAAGTAATAAGTGAAACTGTTTTACTTTTCAAGTACTGAGAACTGATCTAGCTGGTTTAGCCAGGTACTGTTACTGGAATTATTCTAGTACTTTGATTGGATTTATATTTATTATTTTAAAAACAAGAAAAAAAAATCGTAAAGCAAATAATACTCTAATTCTTTTTCAGTAAGAAAGTAATTTAACTTTTGTCTATTAGGTATTTGTTGTGTTACATTTTTGTGAGTTAGCTTAAGTGGCACGTGATTGAGGGGACCAAAGTTAAAAGATGGAACCTTTTGTGTATGTTGTTGTCACCCATAACCAAGCAAGTTTAGGTAGAAAATAAATGAATTGTGAGCAATATTAGTCTGGCTTTAGTTGTTAGTCTTTTTCTTCATTTCATTTTTTTTTTGGTAGATAAAAAGAAAGATGCTTTTATTCGAAAAAGAGGTATAAAGGGGCTAAGGGAGTGGGGAAGATGATGCACATGGTATGTTTCCTAGCTTCTTTTATGTTAGAAGAAGAAAAAAAGAGAGAGAAAGAACTAAGATAAGACATGAAAAACAAAGATGAAGAATTAACGTAAATGAACACTCATCCAATCGCATAAATTAAAAATAGCCGGTTGATATATAATATATGTATAATTTCTATTGTAATTATGTATAATCCGTACATAATCTATATATATCAGCAAGGAAAAATAAATAGTAAATCCGACCGGTTATTACGATAAAGGGAATTGATGAAATAAGAGTGAAGATAATGACTAGCAGTAGTCTGTTCTAATTATGGAGGTTTTCTCTGGCATTCCATGTGCATCAATCACCTCTTCCCACTTCTTATTATTTTAAAGATTTATAAATTATATAACTTCCCCAGTCTTTTCTTTCAAAACAATCTAANTAGTAGCAGTAGCTTCTCTGCCTAAAGAAATAGCAGCAGGTTTGCACCCAAAGCAAAACAATGCAATTCGAGGCCTATTGTTACAATCTGGATGGGTTGTTGAGAAACTTCACGATGATTCTTGCATGGTCACTTACGTTGTCCAGGTAATTTTTTTGAAAATTTTCAATAAAAAAAATACCAAATTACTTTTTATAACCGCGATGTGTGGACCAACTACTCATAACTTTGTCTGTTGAGGTTTAGGCGGATGGAATAAATCATGTCTTCGAGAGAATTTGAATCACAGTTTCTTCCTATTTTTATCCACTTAATTGGCCGTTAGCGCAAATTACATTTTAATTTCACAAAATGCAAATTCCAAATGAAACTAATCCTTTTGTTTTTTGTTTATTGATTAAATTTCAGCTGGATCCAGCAGGATGGTTACCAAAATGCTTCGTGAATCGTTTCAACACAAAATTGGTTATGATCATTGATAACCTTAAAAAGCAAGTTCTCTCAGCTAGCCCTATTAACAGTGATGATAGTACATGATTACTACTCTGTACAAAAAAAAAAAAAAAACACAAAAAATGGGATGAAAAGTGAGTAATATTTATAGTTTTGAATATATAAATATGAACTTCTTTGATCAATAGTGAAATCCCTCATCCTCCTTACCCCAATCCACCACCACTACGAAAAGGAAAAGGAAAAATAATCTATTGCACCTTTAGTTAGGGAGTGGGGAATGAGAGGGGAGGACCATGCATAAAGTTTTGAAATTTTGAATCATAACAGTTGTAAATAGCCATTGATAGCTACTACTCCTATAGCATGAATTAATTGGTGGAGTTTCCAATATCATAAGTATATGCGACTATTAGTAAAAGCTGGAGAGAGAATATGATGACAGGAGCATCTTTATATATATATATATATATATATATATATATATAAATATGGATCCATTTATTAATATCCAAAGTGGTTGCTGCTATGATTATATGTATAGTTCTTGTTTCGATCGAACTAGCATGATTAATTGGGCATTTGCATTTCGTTGAGTACTCGTCATGACCTTCTCTTGCACCAAAAAGAGAACATAAATTTAACTTCTATTCATCGATTGCATATATATTTTATTAGGTCATTTAAAAAAATAATTATAAGTAATTATTCATAATAAATGGGATTAATTGGCTGGAAAGTAAGGCATACAACATAGTATGACATATTAAATACACCGAAAAGTAAATATTTATTTACCCTATTACTTTCTCTGATCCACAATAAGTGATTTTTTGGCTATTTTCACACAGATTAAGAAATTCATCTTTTAATATTAAATAGCATTGAAATTAAGACAAGACGGGTTGCTCTGATGGTAAGCAACCTCCACTTCCAACCAAGAGATTGTGAGTTCGTGTCTCCCCAAGAGCAAGGTGGGAAGTTCTTGGAGGGAAGGATGCCGGGGGTCTATTTGGAAACAGTCTCTCTACCCCAGGGTAGGGGTAAGGTCTGCGTACACACTACCCTCCCCAGACCCCACTAAGTGGGATTATACTGGGTTGTCTCTTCATATAAACACTCCTAACACATATTCCAACACTATTTACTCCAATGACAATGTAAGAAAAAAATAATTAATTCATTCTTAAAATTTGGAAAAATCAGATATTTTGGACCACAAAAAATGATCAAAAATCACTTATTATGGACCGGAAGGGAGTAAAATATATATATATATATATAAGCTGAACCCCTTAACATATTTGAAATTTTTAGGAGCAAAACTAGTTAGTTTGGCTATTCAACTTGTCTTTGCCCGATTTGTTGGTTCCAGCCACAAAATCTCTCTTTTAGATTAATGGCGTCGATGTCAAATGATCAAATGATTTTTTTTCTTCTGTGGCGAAATTGAAAAAAATATGAAAACTCGTGCAGTTGTATTGTGATTAACACTGAATAACATCTTTTTGCTCTCTCAATAAACACATTCCTCGTAAACGGTTCTATCTATCGTATGTGACATATCTTTCAATAACCCATAATCTACGTATATGGCTAGAAAAAGTAAATAATGAATATGTCCGGCTATTTGCGAAAAGATCCCTCAAAAAATTAACCTTTTCCTGCCAGCCAACACCATTAAACTATTGGTCAGTCGTCGAAAAAGAAGAACACAATAACTGCCAATACTGGCCAACAAAATTAGATTTTGCCTATAGGGAAGTCATGTGTTAGGCATTAGGAATTTACGATTTGGTTAAAAATGAGAGATTCAGCACTTTCTTTCAAAGATTGGTCAAGTCGGACAGCTTTATATGTTGCACCTTTACCTAATTGGAGTAAATGGACTAGCTGTACACATTAATTATGTCAATGCAAAGTGGAGGTCCAATGTTTAATCCCTTCAACTTTGAGGGTTACAATGGATCTAATTACATTAACAATGATGATTATGCCAATTTGGTTTATTTTTCTGAGGAAACAGCATAGACATCAGAGACACAATTTTCAGCGGGCAAAATTCAAAAACAACCAGATATATAAGTGGTAATTCAAAAAATAACTACAGTTTTAAAAATAATCGAAATTTAGCCACTTTTCATGTAAAGATAAATCTGAACAAAAACACTATTCAAAATTAGAAAAATATTCCAGCATAATATATTGGAGTTCGAATTTTTATATGTGAACTTCCAACATAATATACTGGGTTCCAGCATAATATGCTGGAAGTTCATACACAGGTGCTTCAATCTTCAGTATATTATGCTGGAACTTTCCATGTGCTGGAGTTCCAACATATTATGCTAGAAATTCATACACATGTGCTCCAATCTCCAGTATATTATGCTGGAACTTTCTGTGTTGCAGCAAAATAATGGCTAATTTTCAATGACTTTGCAAATGTTGGCTATTTTTTAACTACCGGTCTGAAAACTGGTTAGCCCGTGCTATATTTACATTTTCAGCACAAAGGAGGCCCAAAGGCATGCAAGGAAATGAATATTTCCAAACATTTAAGCATATAAAGTCGGAGAGGAGATACTAGATTGATATGAATTCACAATCATACTTGAACTTTTGGATCAGTTCTAGTATAAGGCTGTTCACTGCTCTTAATACTCTACGCGAAATCACCCACAGAGAATGTACACAAGGACGCGATTTTCAATGTACATTATCACTTTCCATTTCTCTAGCATGTACAGGTAGTGCAATGCCAAAGCACATTTGGTAGAAGCCGCTGGCTCCAGGAGAAAAGTTTGTATACTTATTACGAATTGGTGCCCCCGCTGTAGCGAACTAGGCTTTCTTCGCTGTAAGGATGGTCACAGGCTATGCTGGTTCCTTCACAGCTAGCAGAAGTTGATCCTGATTCAGCATTCGTGTTCATTCCATCTATTTCCATGATATTCTCAATCTCTTTCACGACCTCACACATTGTTGGCCTATGAACTCCTGCTTCTTCGACGCACCTTAAAGCTAGATCCACAAACTTCCTGAAGCTTATAGGTGTCATGCTTGAGGGGATATTGGGATCAACGAAACCATCAATGTTGTACATGTCTTTAGACTTATCTATTGCTTGCTTCAATTCCTTCACAATGTATTTTCCTTTCACGATAGGACTCCTCGCTGTTATAAGCTCTAGTAACACAACTCCGAAGCTATAGACATCACTCTTCTCAGTCAACTGTTGTGATGTGTAATACTCTGGATCCATGTAGCCCTAAGCAGATAAATGTACACAGCAGCTCATTGAAAATGTTCAGATACAAATTCTTCAACAATGTTGAAATCAAGAGTTCAGGTTTTAAGCTTCCAAATTTTTATACTCTTATGTAAAGCTCGCAAAGAAATTGCATACAAAGAATTATGAGTATTGTCACGTTATCAAGCAGAAAATGCAACCGCACATCCGTTTTCTGCGTGCTTGTTCTGGACACGCGTCCAGCTTTAACTTTTAGGAATCGAACTAAGACGATCACCAGTCTATATCTATTGATGGACAAGAATTTCAAGAGACTAAGAAATATAGGAAACAGTGATCTTGGAAAATGAGAAATACTAACATATGATAACATCAAACTCACGTATCAGCTGTAGCATTTAGTAAAGTCTGCACTTACCATTGTTCCTTTAACCTGAGTGCTGACGTAACCCTTTTCTGGCTCAATCATTGACTTGGAGAGACCAAAATCAGCAACTTTCGCATTCAAGCGCTCATCCAGCAAGATGTTATTTGATTTGATATCACGGTGGATGATAGGAGGGTCAACATGATCATGAAGATATTGCAAGCCTCTGGCTGCTCCAAGAGCTATCCGAAGTCTCCTCTTCCAATCTAACTTAGTCCCAGACTTCCCTGCAAAAATTGACATTAGTCATGGGTCATGTAACCCCCCTCGGTGTAGTTGAACCTACAGCTGATTTTCAAAACAACAGTCAATAGGAGTTCACATACCTGAAAGACTTTCTTTCAAGGAGCCATTTGGTATATATTCATAGATCAGCATCTGTTCACGTTGCTTGAAACAAAAGCCTAAAAGGCTGACAACATTTTTGTGATGAAACCTAGAGAGAATCTCAATCTCAGTTTTAAACTCATGGGCACCCTGCTTTGATCCTTGCTCTGCTCTTTTAATTGCAACAAGTTGTCCATCTGGAAGTGTGCCTCTGTATACCTGTATGTTTGCAAAAAGTTTTAAGTGATCAACTAGCATTGTTTTGGAAATATTTTTTGAGTCATAACTTTTGCTGGTTGTAGGGGGAGAGTAAGTTATGGACTGGGACTGCTAATGTCCAAAGATAGTGCAGATAGTATGGATAGAATCTGCTCTAGCTAATTATTCACTATGCTTCTTGCTCTCTATGAGTTCCTTTAACTAATGCAGTGTCAGCTGGTAATGTTACACATCAAATTGAACTCATTCTCGATGAAAATGCTATAGTTCTCAAATTTAAATACTCAACCAGACATCAGCTGTAATAATCCAGTGGAATCCTCAACATAAAAAGTAAAAGGTAAGACAGACCAGGACTGTAGACGCAACGGACAAAAGTTCTATCGTTCCCCATCTCTTTTCCCCTTACCCTAAAGTAGTGTAATAACATAAAGTTATTATGGATCCAAACATTTCATAGGTTCCAACTTCCAAGTAGGCAATACTGATAGCACGAGGCATAATGCAGTTTTAAATGCCAATATACTACAGAAATATTAGTCTTCACGTGTCCTATGGACTGAACATTATTGCACAAAATGATTATTCAACAGCAAGGGGCAATTATGCGAGTGTTGGAAAATAGTCTCCACAACTAAATTAAAACAACAGTTTCTTAATCAGTCATCAGGATATAACATTGTATTATCAAAAGTCAATAGAAAACAACCTTTCCATATCCACCAGATCCGATGTAATTGATTTCCGAAAAATTCTTGGTGTATTTTTTCAGCTCCTCATATGAGAAAGATTTTACACCTTTTAACTGTGGAACAGCACTATTGTTTTTATTTGAATCCCATGTAGCTGGATAGATTAAAAAAGGGATGGTAATCAGCAGCAAAAATAATAACAAATAGAAGCAAACTGAAGAACAGTCAGACAACTCACCAAAAGGATCACTCTTTCTAGCAGTTTCTGTAGCTCTTTTTTTTTGGCAAGCATAAACTCCTATAATAAGTGATAAAATTAAAAGGATAACACCACCAGCAGCTGCTCCAATGATAATTTCTTTAGCAATTGACTTGTGAGATCCTCTTGATCCAACTGTAAAGCACAATACCTGTACAGTCAAATCTCTAGCAACAGATATATAAAATAAATTTAATTATCATTCATTAACTGCAT